GAAGATGGCTGGGGAGCACCCTCCCCCGCCCCCCCGCCCCGGCTGCTGCCCCTGGCTGCCCTTGGGTGGACCTGCCTCCTGCCCGGCCACTAGCTTGTGTGGCAGCAGCAGGCAGGGCCTTAGCCTGTGTTCCCTGTGGAGGCTCCTTCATGCCTGTCCCAGAGGACCCGGCCTCAGTGTTCCTTTCCTTCCTGCTGTTCTCACTGGGAGGGGTTTGGCCCGGGTCTGTTTCCTCAGCCTCCACTTAGGGCCGCTGGGTCTGAGGGCTCATAGGTGACCTGGGGAGACCCGACCCTGCTTAGCTAGTTTTCTCTAGTATGTGGAAGGAAACACCAAGGAAAGGTGGCTTCTGACTTGGAGAGAATGCAACAGTCACCTGACCCCACTGCCTGCCACCTGCCCAAGCGACAGAAGGTAGGACCCATCTGTTTGTTCCAATGTGACTGGATCACAAAAAAACAATTAGCAGGTGGGAAATTTGTTTTTCAGGACACACACATAAACCTGCCATTACAGGGAGGACTCTGGTGCTAATTTAGATGCAAATGGAATCGCCCAACTAGAGCTGATTACAGAAAGGTCAGAATGTCTATATGCTCAATTTCACTCCTACGCTACGCATTAAGTTAATGTGCTGCCTCGATTGTGGGCATGATGACTGGACTTGGTTGTGGCCTTCATTTTTGAGAGAGTTTTGAATTACAGCAGCAGAATGTGACACATGGCATCAATTCCTCCTTTCCTGCTGATCCCCCCCCCCCTTTAAAGGAAAACAAACTCTATTTTGTCTATTTCTGAGAAGTTTGAGATTTAATAAAAAATACCTGGCTGGAGCTCTTAAGCTAAGATAGAAAGGAGATTGACCATAAATTCAGCTGCTGTCCCATTCAGAGAATTGATCTCACCTATATATGCACATCTTGCAGACCCGGAGCACGCTGGGCTGTAGCCTGGAGTGCAGGACCAGTGACTGGAACTAGGGGGTATGAGAGGATGGCCGAAAGGTTTGTGAGTTTGTCTGGTTATTGCAGTGTACCGTAGTGCTCTCCAGATGTTCTGACTGTAAGACATGGCCAGAAATTTACCTTATGCATTTGAGCGTGTGCATATGTATTTTTTGCTGACTAGATAACAAGGCACATGCCTATGTAATGTATCTCATTACATATAGTTTGAAAAAAAAAAACAAACAGGCACACACAAGTTTTACAAAACAGTACCTACTACATGCTGTGTGCCCTGATATCATCTGTTTGACCCTGGTCTAAACCACAAGCGAACCAGTAAATTGGTTTCACTGTCCACCTTTTGGCGTCAGACTCTAGTCTGAAAACACAAGCACTCGGCACGGAGGGGGACCCAGGTGAGGGCTGGTGGAGGGTGGAGGAGGTGGGTGAAAAAAGGGCTTGATTTCAAAGGATCGACTAAACTGGTCTTGATAAAGGTAAAATTAAGTCCCCAAGTCAGGGCTCCGGTTCCTTCTAGAATGGGGGCTGAAAAATCACACACACAGACACGGGATGTCTCAGCTCATACATCGTTTGGATTCTGGTTGTGTTTATCTTGTCAAGGATAATTATTTGCTTGTGGAAAAGGGTTTTCCTTGGGTTATTGCTGTCATTGTGGTCTGCTTTTAGTGAAAATTCACATTCCTAGGCTTTAGTATCCTTCAATTTTTCTTGTGTGTTATATGGTAGTAAAGTAGAACCTCATTTACTACTTCTATTGGTATTTCTTCCTTTTTTTAAAGAATTTTTTATTTATTTATGATAGTCACAGAGAGAGAGAGAGAGAGAGAGAGAGGCAGAGACATAGGCAGAGGGAGTAGCAGGCTCCATGCACCAGGAGCCCGACATGGGATTCGATCCCGGGTCTCCAGGATTGCACCCTGGGCCAAAGGCAGGCACTAAACCGCTGCGCCACCCAGGGTTCCTCTGGTATTTCTTCCTAAATTGGTAGCTACCTGCAGTTCCTTACAGAACTAGAGAAATGGACAGCGACAGTCATCTGGAAGGCAGAAGGTCTTACGTACATCCACGACTGATTGCCTTCGTAGCCGACCAGGAAGAGGATGCTACTGTCTTGTTTGACTAAGCCTTCCTTTTTGGGGCATGAGTGGCAGCTTCAGTTTTGCATTCCACGTGGCAGAACTGCTTTCCCCTGGTGGTTCAGCGTTAGCTTTCAAGTGATCACATTTAGGCTCTGGTCTCATCCTCGTTAAGGAGGTTGTCTATTTGGGGGATTAGAGGAAGATTCTGAAAAATAAGATAATGGGGCAGGAAAAGATTTTCTGGGATAAAAGTCTGCTGAGGGCTCTTTGAATATGGAGGAGGGAAGAGGCAGAAAGGGAAGGGAACCAGATCTTGCCTTGGATCTTAGCTTGAGGTGAGTGTGACCTTAATTTATAAAGAGGTTGCAACTCGATGCTTAATAGAATTGGGTTTTGGGTATTCATACCACGTTATGTAAATGCTGCCCCTCCAAGTATTTTCTTAAATCCTCTTAGCTTATAAATGACAGGCTTTGATTGCTAATAATAATAATAATAATAATAAAATCTTTCATTTATGCAGCCTAAGAGTAGTAAACAATAGATGCTTAATGCCCTGCTTTCATGTCCGCCCCCAAAGACTGAGATTTCTATTCTTAAGGGTTTATGGCTGTGCTTTTGAGCTTATTAAGGTCATGTGTAACTTAAGGGGGGAAAAGCTGATGGTGCATTGTTGGTGCAAAGGCAGCTCCTGGAATTCTGCAGGACATGTCAGCTCAGCAGTGCTCAGTAAATAAGGTTGAAAATGCAGTATTGCAGAGACTCCATGCATGCATGGCCCCTTTGAAATGACTAGTGCTCCTTTTTTCTAGCGATCAAGATTGTTAGGGAATTAGACTTTGCACCCATGATTTTGGATTAAGTTTCTTTTGCTAAAGGACCTTGAGGTTGCGGTGGCGGAACAGGTGTGAGCTAATGGAGCTTGTGTGTTTGGTGGTGTTGTGAATCATTTCCCCCTTAGGCTGTAGTTGGTGACATCGGTTATTTTATAGGTTTTTATAAAAAATGTCCCCGTCTCTGGGGCCCTCAGAACAGAGGGCCAGAGAAGAGAGAAGAATTAAAGATTAAGCTCAACTCTGGCAAATGTAAATCACTGGGACCTTGGGGGCTGTCATTTATTCAGGAAACGTTACATTCAGTACCTCCTGTGTGCCAAACTCTGCGCATTGCACCAGAGTAATAAAAAAGCCATAGCGTGTGTCCCAGGACGGCCTTAAGAGTGCCACGAACGTGGGTCTGGAGAAGAGCAGGAAACACAAGGGTAGGAGCAGGGGCAGCCTGTGAGGGGCACTCTTCTTTGGGAAATATATTACCAAGTGGTTGAGGCTTACCTCTTTCCTTTGTGATATTTGGGCCACAGAGAGCCTTTTAAAGTCGGTCGGATGCCACAGTGTGTGTCGAATGCTTTGAGGGCGCGCAGTGTGGGTGCTAAGCAGGAGGGGGAGGATGCTTGTACTCCGATGCGTGCCATGCTCAGGCCACTCAGCGAGTTGTCAACAGATCCTGAGAGGGTCCATTCACATGTACTGGATAGGCCTGCCCTGCTTAGAATAAAGAAATAGACAAAACTGATTTGGTCAGGTCTTACTCACCTGGGCTCCTCCCTCTACCTGGAACATACCTAGGAACGAAGAAAGTTTATAAATATAATTTAAGCCTTTATATACAGATGTACCCACATGGGGCCTATCTATACTGACACAGCAGATCGGGAGCTCAGAATTTCTGAACTGATTTGTTCAGAAAGGCAGACAATAACGAGGAGGAGAGGAGTATAATATAAAAGGAATGACCAGTAACAGTGTGATAAAGTGACAGCTAACGCTTTGGAAGGAGGGAAGAAGGAAGTGAAAAACTGGGAAAGAGAAGATGTCATCCCTCAAAAAACATCGCCATCTGTTTCATTTAGCATCAAGTACATTACACTCATGGCAGGGGAGATTTCCAAGATTTCTAGGGGATAGAGTTGGAATCTGAGATATGGAACTGTTTCCCTAGTGATTTTCATACATCTCAGTTTGGGTATTTCTACTCTACAGACAGTAGGGAAATTGATGATCCCCGTTCATCAAGAGGTGTTATAGTTTGCTTTTAGGAAGACAGGTGTATACGAGTTCTCAAAATATTCTTTATCAAAATGTTTAAAATTTGAATGCTTTAAGTACCAAATACTTGGCACTTTGAAGAACTTGACTCTTGAGAGTTTTCTCTTTCCTGAAAGACTATGCACATTCCCCTGCATAGAAGAATCACATCACGTAGACGATACTAATTTAATTTGTATTATTAAAAGAAAAGTCAGTTACTTTATAAGTGGTAAACTCTTATAGCACTTTATAAATATCACTTTATATTATTCAGTTATAAAAATTTGACTTGCAACTTTCCAGAAATATATCTAAACATCTGCAGTACTTTGTACTTCTTTATTTGCCACTTATGATGTTATTATTTTGCTTATTTGACTATATATATAAACCCATCTTCCTGGACAGAAAATATGTTCTCATGTTTCTAGCTTCTTGTACACAGCGGGTCCAATAAATATTTATTGGATGACTAATAATGAAACAGTTATACTGGGCTTTCTAATTAATCCTTTACCGACCATGTAGATACTTTCCATTATCTCTTTTTTCCCTTTGTGGTTACACACTAAAATCTTTATGGTATTTGAACTGCATTTGATGATTAGAGTTGTCAGAACACTTGAATTGCTTTTTTTTATGTCTTTGCTTTTCCCTTACTGAATTAAAGGGCGGAAGCAGCATGAGGTATTGTGGAATGTGAATAGGTTATAGGCTTCAGATGAAGCTCTGAAGCGTGTTCTTGTGGTTGGCATGTCCTTGCCTTGATGGGGTCACTGTGGTGAGGCCAGGGGCCTTTGGGGAAGCATGTATCACAGCATCGAAAGGATGCTCACCTGTTCTCACTCTGTCGTTGGTCCCAGGTGACTGTGGAGGAGGTTATGACCACAACTGCGTATCTGGACCTTTTTCTGCGTAGTATCTCCGAGCCAGCGCTACTTGAGATCTTCCTCCGTTTTATCCTCTTGCATCAGCACGAGAATGTCCACATCCTAGATACTCTCACGAGTCGAATCAACACCCCATTTCGGGTAAGGAGAGCTCCAGAGGAAGGGACTTTATAACTCAGAACAAATTTCAGGAGAGTTTGTTTTGGGAATAAATGATGAATATTCTTTTTTCTATCCCCCCGCCCTTTTTCTTGTAGCTATTATTATTATGACACCATTCTGAATTCCATTGAACAGGTTTTAAGTCCATCCTGCCTAGAAGACAGACTAGCACTTCTTCACTGGTGCAAAAAAATACTTAAGTGGTCTGATGGAATGATTAAAGCTTATTCCCCAAAGGGCACACTGGTCTTATAATACACCTTGGGTTATCTTGCCTGTTTGGCTGTTTATCTTTCCTTTTTGGATATTAGATATTGAAAGAATTCTTTTTTTTTTTTAAGATTTTATTTATTCATGAGATACACACACACAGAGGCAGAGACACAGGCAGAGGGAGAAGCAGGCTCCGTGCAGGGAGCCCGACGTGGGACTCGATCCCAGGTCTCCAGGATCACACCCTGTACTGAAGGCAGCAATAAACTACTGAGCCACCAGGCTGCCCAGAATTCTTGTTTTTGATTGAACTTTTTAGAAAAGTATATTGTCACATCCTCAGCTCTCCTGGAAATGGAACCAAGGAAAATGTTTGCCCCAAAGCCAAGAGACAAACCAAAAGGAGCTGCAGCATGGGGCTAAGGGCGCTAGAGGGGGGCTGGCCAGGGTATATGTGATTTACTGTTAGCCCTGTCTTGTGTCATGTTTGAAAATAACTTGGGAAAATAAGTGCCAAGCAGATCGTGTGTGTGTGTGTGTGTGTGTGTGTGTGTGTGTGTGTGTGTATTGGAGAGTTCTAGGGGCACGTTTATGTGGATCTTTAAAAGTTGGAAATAAGAGCATAGGCGTTTTGTAGGAGGGTAATTCTGCGTAATGGCATAATTCTAGGCATAGGCTTTCAATCAAATCCTGTAGGAGAACTAAAAACCTTAATACACATTCTCTCTGGCAGCAGCATGTTTTTATCAAAGCTGCTAAAAAAAGAGGCCATTTTATTTTGTAATTCTGATTTATTTTCCATCTGTGGGGAGTAGAGCTATCCTTCCAATATCTGAAATAGAATGTGTGTTTATTGCTTCCCAGCTCTGTGTGGTGTCCCTGGCATTATTTAGAACTCTCATTGGTTTACATTGTGAAGATGTGATGTTACAACTAGTTCTAAGGTAAGTTGCCATCTTTTGTTCTCTTTAAAGGAAAACTCAATCTATACTATTGCTATTCTATTTCTCTTTGGGTAATATGAACTTAGGGGCCATGCTTCTAAGGAAAAAAATTATCAACAATATCAGTCCAATTTCTGTATTATTTCCCAAGGTTGACTTTAGTTTCACTATTTTTTAGGGGGCTAAATACATTGAACTATAAATATGCTCCTGGAAATAATAGGTTGTTTGGAAATTTACAGATTCTGAAAGCTCCTCTGGTCTGTGGCGGAATGTCCTTCTCCTGATGTACATTTTTAGGGGCATGTGGTATTGGAAACAACTTTCCCAAATACGAAATGCTATTGATACAGAACTCCTATGACTCTTGCTTTCCTAATGGTACACCTACGGCGTGCACTCGCTGACCTCCAAGTATGTTTCAATTAAACTCAGTAAATATTTAATGAGTACTTCCTGGGTACAATTCCGAAGAGAGTAGGGCACAGGGTAGACAGATTGAGAAGGACTTACAAACAAGGTAGAAAAGGTAGGACTTTCAGAAGCACGGGGGAGAAAGGTTTCGGCAAGTGGCTGGTGTTTGAAGACAGGTGTCAGGAATCAAAGTGGACCACTGTTAGGATGACAGTAATTTGGCCATTTGGCAGGGGGCTCAGGAACACTGAATCTTGCCCGGGTCCAGCTCTGCCTCTTCTTCTGGGATCCCCCAGGGAAGCATCTGCTTTTGTAAAGGAAGAGAGGGAGGGTTGGCTAGGGCTTGTGCTCCTACATTCCCTTCTGGTGGTGTGGAAGCAAAGAGGAAAAGCCAATCCGGGTTGCCTGGCACATACTCCCCTCCACTCCTTCCTTTGCTCTGACTTATCCTTTGACCTCTCCTTGGGAATAAGGGCAGAGAAGCCAAGGACCGGGGGAAGGGGAAGAGCCTTGGACTGGTCACCACTGGGGTTTTGATACGATGTGAGTAGAATTACTGAGGAGGTGGCATTCCAAGTGAATGACAGCATTTCCAGCATGGTAGCTGTGGAAAAGTAGGGGGGTGGCGAAGCGAGGGTGGGAGCAGGGGCACCGACCTCATCCAGGGACATGTTAGAAACGCGCTCTCTTGGTCTCCTCCCCGATGTGGCGACTCTGACTCTGGGGGTGGGAGGTGCCCAGCGAGCTGTGTTTTGCCGAGCTCTCCAGGGGACTCTGATGCCTGGCTAATTTTGAGAGTGACTGGCTTAAGGAAGGGTACAGTACAGAGAGGGCACCCTGCGAATGGAGTGACTAAAAAAAAGCCGGGCTGGGAAAGGTGGTGGTGGTAGTGGTGGCATCGTGGCGGAGGCCTTGGGGAGTTACCGTTGTATGGGAGGGCGTCACCTGTTAATTATCTTAGTTTAAGAAGAGGTTTTGGACTCTCCAAGGGTTCACGTTAGGTCATCAGTAACTGATCTTCAGGCAAAGGACTAATCTAGTCATGAAGAGATGGCCTTGGTAGTCTGGCCAGAACATTTTAGGTGGAACATCCCATTGTCAAAGGATTGCTCTAGTGTCCTGTCAAGTCTCCGCTGACGTGACAGATGCTTTAGGGAGGCCTGAACATCATCCGTCATGGAGACTTGATAAAGCCTTTTTTATTGCCAAAACCAGACTTTGCCTCCAACAAGGGTAAAACCTGATTATATTTAAACGTTAAATTCTTAAACACCGCTGCTTTGGTGCCGCTGTCTTTTCCAGCGAACCAGAAGCCTGGCCCTGCTTGGGGGGTGCAGGGCTGCGCCCCTCTGAGCACCACGCCCGATGTAGGCCTGCAGCTGGCAGCTGGTGCCCTTCACGCGGGGAGCGAACACTCATCACCTTTCGTCTGCTCCTAGAGCGGCGCTCATTCAGCTCAAAGCCGTCCGCAGAAGCGTGCTAGCTTCTTTTGAGGCCCAGGCGTGGCCCACGTGAAGGGGAAGACGTCCACTCGTGGTTGAGACATTTCTGTGTCTGAGTCGGGGCTACTCATTGCCAGGGTGATTAGGGACTAGTCATCTCCTGGCAGGGCGCCCGAAGGGTACGTAATCACATCACAGCTTCTGTGTAGGGTCACGGAAGCCCCATCCCACGTAACCACCTGCTCGTAGGCTCTCTCAGCCCGAGTGTCTTCCTTGTGCCTTTGGTGAGGATGATGGTGATGCTCTCGTGATGCTGGTGGCCCCTTATTTAATACTTTATTTCTAATTCCACCTCACTGCCTGGGGGAGTCCAGGAGAGGAGCAAGGGAGGGGACGTACGTACATGGAAGTCAGGTATGAGGCGGACTTGCAGGAAGCCTCTGCTTCCTGGTCTCTCTCTTCTGAAGTGCAGAGTCTTCTCCCCCTCACATTTTAAATGATTTTTAATTGTTGAACATGCACGTAACATAAAATTCAGCATCGTAACCGTATAGTCCAGTAGTATTAAATACATTCACACTGTGGTGCAGCCAGTGCACCATCCCAGGGTGCTGCCGGGACACGAGCACCCTGTACCCAGCACCCACTCACTCACCATGGCTTCTCCCTCCTCCGGCCCCTGGAAGCCACTCTTCTGCTTTCTGTCTCTACACCTTTCACTACTCTAGGTACCTCATTTAAGTGGGGTCAGACCCTGTTTGTGTCTGAATGATTTATCTTAGCGTAGCATCTTCACATTGTTGCCTGTATCAGAATTTGCTTGCTTTTTTTTTTTTTAAGATTTTATTTATTTATTAGAAACAGAGAGAGACAGAGAGGCAGACACACAGGAAGAGGGAGAAGCAGGCTCCATGCCGGAAGCCTGACGTGGGACTTGAGCCGGGTCTCCAGGATCATGCCCCTGGGCTGAAGGCGGCGCTAAACCACTAAGCCACTGGGGCTGCCCAGAATTTACTTGTTCTTTTTTTTTTTTTTTTTTTTAAAGATTTTATTTATTTATTCACGAGAGACAGAGAGAGAGGCAGAGACACAGGCCCCATGCAGGGAGGCCGACGTGGGACTAGATCCGGGGTCTCCAGGATCATGCCCCTGGCCGAAGGTGGTGCTAAATCGCTGAGCCACCTGGGCTGCCCAATTTACTTGCTTTTTAAGGCTGAATCACTTCCATTGTTTACACACTTTTTTTTTTAAGATTTCATTTTTCTTTCTTTCTTTTCTTTCTTTTCTTTCATTCGAGATACACAGAGGCAGAGACACAGGCAGAGGGAAAAGCAGGCTCCTCGCAGGGAACCTGATGTGGGACTTGATCCTCGGACCCAGGATCATGCCCTGAGCTGTAGGCAGACACACTCAACTGCTGAGCAACCCAGGCATCCCTACACCACGTTTTGTTTGTCCATTTATCTGTCAATGGATCTTTTGGGTTGCTTCTGCTTCGTAGCTGCTGTAAACATAAGAGTATAGATACCTGTCTTCATCACCCCACTTTCAGTTCTTTTGGGTGATTTACCCAGAAGTGGGATTGCTAAATCATATGGTGAGTCTATTTTACATGTTTTCTGTTTTCCATGATAGATGCACCATTTTATGTGCCCACAGTAGGGCACAAGGGCTCCAGTTTCTCCATATCTTTGCCAACACTTGTTACTTTCTGCTAAAGAAATGGTATTTTAATAATCATAGAAAAATGACAGGCAGATTTAAAGAACTGACCAGAGCTCTTAGAAGTAAAAACTATTTCAATGAAGAATGAACGGTTTGGGTAAATAGCATGTAAGACATAGATTAAAAGAGAATTAATGAACTAGGAGATAGATTGAAGAAGTTACTAAATTTGCAGCAAAAAGAGATAAAGAGATTAAAAATATGACAAGGCAATGACGATGGCGGTTAATATGATAAAGTGTAGCATATCCCATTGGAGCAAGAGTGAACTGCTGGCTCAGCTTGACCTATTGTGGTTTTCGAGTTTCTGTCTCATAATAAGGTGTTTGGGAGAATCAGTTGTGGTGGTTATCTGTGGAAAATGTTTTAAACACTGTAAAGTACTATACAAATTTTTTTTTTTTTAGTACTATACAAATTTAAGGGAAGAGAATTTCCTGGAAAATACATTTTAAACTAATGAAAACATTGTCTTTCCTGATTTAGAATCTGTACACAAGCAAGGACAGTGAAAAATCCTTGTTCTTCTAGTCATTTAAACTTTATCTGAAGGGACGTAAAAAAACCAGGCTTGTGATCTATCCTTTCTGTTGTTGCCACCGTGGTGGTTCGAATGTGCATGATAAACCTGTAGCTCTAGAGGCAGCAGAGCAGTCAAGATTCTGTGAGTCCGTTTAATGAAGTTATTTGTTAGGTGATAAATCATCAGTGTATGTCAATTTTTGTTGCAATCCAAATACTCTTAAATATTGATATTTCAAAGTGATAAACCATTTGTAACTGATAATGTTTCTTTCAGTTAACAGAATATCAGGAAATGTAAGTTGAAATAAGGAACCCAAAAAGAGAGGCTGTTTTAGTGGGTGAAAGCCAAGGAGAGCCTCTCTGCCTCCACGGATGTGAGGTACGACTGGCCAAAGGCAGGCAGGAGATGCCGAGAAGTGGGAAAGTAACAGATCACCCCATGTTTTTGGCACTTGCCAGTTTAGGCAAAAGTTTGGTTTTTTTTTTTTAAGATTTATTTTATTTTTTGTGGGGGGGAGGGGCAGAAGGAGAGAGAATCTCAAGCAGACTTTGTGCCGCCTGCTGAGTCTGACGCGGGGTTCCCTCTCACAACCATGAGATCATGACCTGAGCTGAAATCAAGAGTCGGATGCTTAGCTGACTGCACCACACAAGCTTCTTGAAGCAAAATTTAAATTGCTTTATACCTTGAGTGCCATTTCTGAATATTGTGGTTAGGGCATTTTTTTTTTCCCTTAGAAGTCCTGGTCCATTGTCAGATTTTTGAATTGCATTGCATGTTGTGTTCAGATAGAGGATGTTTTGCTCCAAGAGAAGCTACGCATCTACTTCAGGAACATTTCCACCTTTATGGGAGTTAGGAGTCTGGAGGAGTGTGCAAAAGGAAAAAAGAAAAAAAAAAGAAAGAAAAAAAGAAAAACCAAAAGGCAAGCCAGCCTAGGTTAAGATGAATAGGAGAAATATGGTCAGAATATCTTTGAAAAACAATCTTTTGAAATTTATTGATGTTGCTCTGTAGAATTTTGCCTGTTGGTGCATTACTGAGGTTCTCACCATCTCCTAAAAGTACCTCTCTTACTTCATTGTACTTACCTCACTGCTTTGTTTCCCTTGTGTTGCCTGTCAGCGTAGCAGTAGGCAATATGTGTGCTTCCCTATTGATTACCTGTCATTGAACAATTTCAGAAGCGATGATGATTTACTTCGATGAGTGACATCCAGGAAAATAGACAGTAGGCCCAGGGCTACTGAGGGTTGGTTGGGGAGGTAATGGCAGAAGGGAGGACAGTGCACAATATCATTGTTTCCTGCTGTATCGTAGGATGGCTTTGAGTAATCTGGATCTCTAAAAGTAGACATTGATTTGTTTCTGATTGTTTTTACTGCTTCCCGAATTTAAATAAAACCCTCAAACAGAGTAAGTGTAGTATAAACTAATAGATGGTTTGATGACAAACACCTCTACTAAATTCCTGAGTGATTTTTCTGCAATCGACAGCCACTTCATTTTGATATTTGACATTAGGGCAGCTTCTGACGTTCATTCTGTTCCTAATCTTTCCCTGTAAATGTTGGGAAGACAGAAGGTCAATGCATGGTTTTCTCCCGCTTCCCTCTGGGATAATCCTTCTTTACCGAGGCACACTGGAAGTACTGCTGTGAATATAAGGTGGCGGGGGTCGGGGGAGATTATCTGTCTGAACCGACTCCCCGTTTTCAATTTGATAGAACCTCTCCTTTAACCTATAGGGAAACTCTGTTTATTTGTTACTCAGAAGAAAATACTTAGTTTCTCCTGAAAACATGTGTTGGCAAAGTGGCAGATTCCCTCTAACTCTTTATTCTAGTCTGATTTCAAGCTGCTCACTGGTGGTATTTGATAAATAGCTTTATTAGGTTTGATCCAGTGTTCCATTTTAAAAAATACTTCAAACAGGGCAGCGTAGGTGGCTCAGCGGTTTAGCGCCGCCTTCAGCCTGATGTGTGATCCTGGGGTCTCGGGATCGAGTCCCACGGGCTCCCTGCATGGGGCCTGCTTCTCCCGCTGCCTCTCTCTCTCTCTCTGTGTGTGTCTCTCATGAATAAATAAATAAAACCTTTTAAAAAAATACTTCAGACAAAGAGGAGACACCTATGTATGTCAACTTAAATCCTGGACGTGCTTGGTTTGAGCTGTAGGTCGCCGAGTTCCTGCGGTCTGCAAAAGCACGGAAGCAGTTTATTTTTCAAATAATGATCGGAGTAAGGAGACAATGAATCGTGCGTAACCTGAGTCTCCCTGGGCCCCGCCAGCCTGTGGGAGCAGGACAGTTCATATCAACCACCACCCAGTAGTTTCTCCCGACCCCTACCCCTCAGCTGAGAGCTTGGGCTTAGGGAGGGGTCCTACGCGCAGTCACGAACCATCTGTCACCCCCTCCAGCAGCCCCCCCCCCCCCTTGGCGCTGGCTCCCTTCGCCCCAGCCATGCCCTCAGGGCGGGAGCTGTGCTGTGTGCAGACAGGCTGGAGCCTCTCTCCTCTGCATCATTCCCTGTCACCAAAGCCTGTCACCAAAGCGTCTCTGCTCACAGAGACCCTTGTAGGGGGAGCTCCTTCATCTTCTACCTACAGCTTCTGTTTCTTCTCTACTAGCGTTCGGATGGAAGACCCCAAGGCTGGGCCTGGGATGACCTCAGACCTGCCCCCCTTCCCATACTGTCCTCTCCTCCCCTCTCTCTCTTTTTTTGTTTTCTTTTTATGACCTTTGCTTTCCAGGCACCCCAGCTTCTGAAAGTAGAGGCCATTGCATCAGATGAGCGGGGTCTGTTGCCTCTTGGCCGGAGCAGGTTCAGGCCTCAGGTGTGTGTGGACCGTGTGCCTGTGGGTGGGGAGAGGGGAGAGGAGGCCCTGCCGGTCCTTGAAGAATGGCATGATTATTATTATTATTTTTATTTTTAGGATTTTATTTATTTATTCATAGAGACACAGAGAGATAGAGAGAGGCAGAGACCCAGGCAGAGGGAGAAGCAGACTCCATGCAGGGAGCCTGACGCGGGACTCGATCCAGGGTCTCCAGGATCACACCCTGGGCTGCAGGCGGTGCTAAACCGCTGGGCCACCAGGGCTGCCCTATTTTCTTTTTCTTTTTTCTTTTTTTTTTTTTTTTTTGAGAATGGAAGGGGGTGAGCAGCGAGTTTGTCATTTCATACCTTGAAAGTTATTGAGACATTTAGGGTAAAGCACCCCAAAAAGAATTCAGTCTTTTTTCTGCCCTGACTCAGGCTCTTGCGGTCGGGCAGCCATTTGTGTCTATGTAGGTTTTCCTTGTGTGGAGCAACAGGGGACTGCAGCAGTTGTTTCCAAGCCTCCAGACATGCCCTGAAAGTGGTACCTTTATCTTTCTCACCGAATCCTCCGTCATAGCTGGTTTCATCTGCACTGCCTCTTTCTCAGGAGCTAAAAACAAACAAAAACGTTCTGGTTTATTGAAGATTGTGGTGGTTCGTAGAAGGGCTCTGGGTCTTCTGGAATTGGCTTCTGCACCCACGTGACACTTGGCCCTGGTGCGACACCTCCATCCCCTTTGTTCCATCTGTGTTTAAAGAAACCGTATAGCCTTGCTCCTTGTTAAGAAAGTAAGCCATTTAAACCAACGTTTTTCTACCCATGAAGCCCACTGACGTGCCCTGGCAGTGTCAGGGACGATTGCCCACATTTTCTTGTCTCTAGGTTCAGAGCGATCCTAAGATATTTTTGATCACCAACTAAAAGTGGTTTGTGTGAAATGGGGCCCAGTGCTCCTTGGTGAGTCCTTGGCCACTGTGAAATTGTGATTTATAAAATAAACACATATTTGGTCTACGTCCTGTGTCTGGCACAGAGCTCCTGAAACCCTTGGCATTTCCTAAGTGGTGAGAGGAACGAAGGGGTTTGGTATGTTAATGAGGCAACTCTAGGACCCAAATCCAAGGATGGAAGCTGGTTGCCAGGAGACCCAACCCTGCGATTGGAGGGTTAGAGCTCAGTCCCACTCCCCTGACCTCCACAGGGAGGGGAGAGAGGCTGGAGGTTAAATCAGTCACCAGGGGCCAGTGACTTAACCATGTCTCTGTAGTGAAGCCTCCATAAAAATCGAAAAGGGTTGGGTTCAGAAACCTTCCGGGTTGTTGAACACGTGGAGCTGTGGGGAGAATGGCACACGTGGAGGAAGCACGGAAGCTCTGGGCCCTCCCCGAAGCCGCACCCTTCCCTGCGCATCCCCTCCCGACCCTTCCTGACTTCTATCCTTTTGTAATAAATAAAAGGTTTATTTATCCCATAAATAAAAGGTTTCTCTGAGGTCCCTGAGCCACTGCAGCATATTAATTGATACCCAGGGAGGTTGTTGGATCCTCCGGTTTGCAGCAGGTAGAGGTACAGGTGATAACCCGGGCTTGCGGTTGTCCTCTGAAGCGTGTGCACGTGGGGGGACGGTCCCGTGGCGCTGAACCCTTAACGTGTGGGACCACCCGGTATCTCCAGGTAAATAGAGGCAGCACCGAGGTTGCACTGAAGGGCCCCCTGCCGGTGTCTGGAGCACTGGCCCCCCACTGGCCCTGACCCCGCGTCGGCAGTGGCGGCCGGGGCGCCTGTAGCCACCACGTGCCACCGGGCAGCTGTGAGGCCGGGAGGTCGGCGCGGGGGGCAGGTCTCTGCGGCCCGCCGTCCCTGGGCGCCTAGACCGAAGGTGCTCCCGGGGGGCGTGCTGTGGAGCACGGCCTGCGGAGGAGGCAGACGCCGGGGTAACGGTGGCCCTCGGTGGCACTGCCTCGGCAGGGCCGGGAGTGTGACGCTGAAGCAGGGCTTTCTAGGATGACAAGGCCGCGTGAGGCGGGGAGCGGGGAACAAGCCCCGGGAGGCAGAGGCAGGCCGGAGGCGCCGAAGAAGGGCCCCTGACCCCCTGACCCCCTGACGGGTGAAGCCCTGCCGTCGTCCTTCCAGGTACCTGATCCCTTGCAACCACATGATGCTGAGCCAGAGGTGGGCCGTGAAGGAGAGGGACTGCTACTCCGTGTCCGCGGCCAAGCTGCTGGCCCTGACCCCTGTCTGCTGCTCCAGCGGGATCACCCTGACGCTCGGCAACCAGGAGAGGGATTATATCCTCTGGTCAAAGTGCACGCACGGCAGTTCAGGTAAAGGGGCTCGCTAGCGGGTCACCGGCGGGCGCAGGGAGGGCAGAGGCCGTTCCCCTGCGGCTCCGGGTCTCCTCGGGCAGACAGGGACTAACGTCGGGCATCCCATTTCTCGTAGGGGTGGCTGGGTGGCGAGGTGGCGGTCGTCTCCTGCTTCGTCAGGAGTTTCGGATGCTTTGTGACCCGTGTAGTAAAATGCCCACCCGTCACCCGGCTGTGTGCCCGGACCCTTATTTTTAAGTAGGCTTTCTCGGAGTACCTATGTGAAAACGCGCACCAGTGTGTCTTTTTTTTTTTTTTAAGATTTTTATTTATTTATTCATGAGAGACACAGGGAGAGAAAGAGAGAGAGAGAGGAGAGAGAGAGAGAAGCAGGCTGCATGCAGGGAGCCCGACGTGGGACTCGATCCCGGGTCTCCAGGATCATGCCCTGGGCTGAAGGCGGCGCTAAACCGCTGAGCCACCGGGGCTGCCCACCAGCGTGTCTTTTTAAGCAAAATGGGGGTGGGGGTGTGGAGGTGGATATAGTGAAGACAGGATTGGCCCTTACTTTAATTTCTGAAAGGACTCATCTGTGGATGCTTGCCTGCCGATAATATATCATGGTGAAACTTGAAATTTGTGGTAGGACAGCAGGATCTGATTCATTTGATTGGCCTACTGAGGATTTTTTAAAAAATAAATATTCTGTTTTTTTTTTTTTTTTTTTAAATAGGTGTCAGAGTGCTTGTGCCGTTTGCCAGCTACAGTTGATCTTACACAAGTAGAATGTAAATGGTGCCCTATATCAGCCGTGGCCCTCTGGCAGGCAGCTCGTTTGCTCATCTTTGGTGGTCAGAAGCCTGTTTCACCCCAGGGAGCTTCTGGTTGACCTGTGACCACTAGGAAAGAGTCTAGCCCTGGGACTGAGCCCGGGATTTCCTATGCAGATTCTGATAGCTCTTCCCAAACGATGTCATTCTGTCTACCCAGGTGCCATCCTGTTAGATCAAGTATATTTTGTCTAAGAGCTGGGCTTCTTGACTAAGAAAATATCAGGGCATCTGATGTAAATGTAATTGCTAGAAATTAAGGTTGTTGTGTTGATTCTTTAACTAAAGATATGGTGTATCATGGAAATTAATAATTTATGTGGCAGGAGAACATGTTGTATTTTAAAAATACTTTCCTATTAGGTAAACCACTCTGGCTATGTTCTGTTTTCCTACCAAGAGTGATTTTTTTAGAACCTTTTTGAAAATTGATGTCTTTTTTATTTACTGAGAAAGTTGTTCCAGGAATGTTTCTGTGGCTGACCTTGCTGCAGAATTCAAAATTTAAGTTGAATAAATGATTGCCCAGTGCCCGCAACGTGCCGCGTTCTTTCCCTGTTATTACATATAATCCTCTGAAGAAAGTAGTATTTCCGTTTTACAGGTGAGGAAATGTCCTCAGAGGAATTGACTTGTTCAGGGTTACACAGCTCTGGTAAAGGTCCTCTGATCCCAAATTCCACATTCTTTCCACTCTTCTGCTCTGGGCCCACTAGGAAAGAGCGTGGCCCTGGGACTGACCCTGGGGTTACCAGTCCATATTCTGCTGTCTCCCCCCAAACAACGTTATCCTGTCTACCTGGGTACCCTAGGGGTTGCCTTACAGGGGACAGGTGCCCTAGTAGAGGGACGGTTGCATAGGCAGGTGATGCAATCTCCAGTTCTGGCCTGGCCTGGTAGAAATTGAGATGAGGAAGAGACAAAGAGGCTTGCAAAGGTGTGGCACTGAATGAAGTAAGAAGAGGTTGACAGCAGATAGCCTGTGCTGGGGTTGTGGCTCTGCCATTGACCAATTGGGTAATCTTTTGTCTCTGAGCCTCAATTTCTTTGTAAACCGAGAAGATGCTATCTGCCATTTAGGACTGCTGGGAGGAGTAATTAGATCGTGTTGATTAAACACCTGCCGTAGAAGATCTCTGTTTAAGAAATGGTGGCGTTCTAGGGCTCCTCTGTCTATGGTTCCATTCCTTCTATGAGGGTAGAGTTTCTGTTCTTAGCATCCCCCCCCCCTTTTTTTAAGATTATTTATTTATTTAGAGAGAGCATGAGCAGGTCAGGGGGAAAGGCAGAGGGAGATCAAGAGAGAGAGACCCTCAAGCAGATCCTGGGACCTGGGAGCAGGACTTGAGTTGAAATCTAGTCTGACCACTAGTCAGTCTAACCCACTGAGCTACCCAGGCGCCCCCTAGAGTTCCTTCTTAAAAATCTAACCTTTTTTTTTTTTTTTTAGATATTATTATTCAGAGATCATTTAATCAGAAATGATTAGAACCAAAGTAGCTGGGGAGACAAAATCTTAGCACCCCAGTGTGTCACATCCATGTCCACCACATTGTCCCCTCCCTCACCCCTTGTAAGGGTTAGATAGGGGCTCGTTCTGACTCATTTCTGCTTCCGGTGGCAGGGACCACGGAGCAGCCCCTGCCGGAGGCGTTCTCCCCGTCGGCCTGCATCGTGGAGTATGGCAAAGCCCTGGACATCAGCTACCTGCAGTACCTGTGGGAGGCCCACACCAACATCCTCCGCTGCATGAGGGACTGCCGAGTCTGGTCTGCCCTGTATGACGGAGACTCCCCCGACCCTGAGACATTTCTCCAGAGTCTGACAGAGGACAGTGCTGTCCACTCGGCCTGTCCTGTGCTCGGGTTCCCGCAGCAGCTCCCCAGGAAGACAGGCCCCGCGCTGGCTTCAAGAAAGGAGAAGAGCCAGACAGAGCTGGAGTGGGATGACAGCTATGACACGGGCATCTCCTCGGGGGCAGATGTGGGCTCCCCGGGGCCTTACGATGATCTGGAGAATTCGGGTCCACCCGCACCGGTTGATCCCCCCAAACACATCCAAGAGATGAAGAAGAACGCCATCCTGCTCTTTAAAGGGTCCTACATTGAAGAGTCTGACTTTCAGGATGACGTGATGGTGTACAGGCTGTGTGCTGAGAAGGACTCGGAGGACGCCAGGAACTCCCAGGACGGAAGCGCAGGGCCCTCCGCCCCGGCCGAGATTCGGGGCCCCCCCCTGAGCAATGGCCCCCTGCCCAGCAGCCCTCAGTCAGAAACCGACTCAGAGGAGGAAGAGGATAGGGGCAGCTCGGGCCTGTTTGAAAATGTGGCCGAGGAACCCCACCAAGAAGATGAGCCGGAAGTAGCCCTAGGATCAAGCTTTGAGCTAGCACCTTCCCTCTCTGAGGAAGAACACAAGACAGACCTGGTGGTCGGTAACCCGGGGGGTGAGGATTTCATCGCCCAATATGACCAGATCATCAAAGAGCTGGATTCTGGCACCGAGGGCTTCATAGAACAGAGCTTCCCCTCAGCCGACGTCTTGCATCTTCCAGAAGAGCAAGGAGGAAAGGAAGAAGAGAGTGAAGGAGAAAAGGAGGCAGAGCCGGGGAGGAAGGCCCCCGAAGAGGAGGAGGACGACTTCGATTCGTTTATAGCAGAAACCCCGACCGCGGACACCGTGCCATCCCCGTTTGGGGCGAGAGATGAGACTGCCTTTGCCAGGCACCATCCCGTGAGGACTCAGAGCACCCCGTTCACAGGTGATGGTCTTGAACTGCTTTCTGATTTCTGCTCTTGAAAGTATGTGCAGGAGAGTGAGGTAGGTGGAGGTAAGGAGCATTGCCAGTGTGCTAGCAGATGGGCAAAATTGTTTTTGTAAAGAGCAGAGAGGAGTGGTTTCATTTTTCATTTTATCTTGTCATTCTAGCAGTCTTTTTTTTTTTTTTCCAGCCAATCAGAGGATACATTTCACAGCTGACTACTTCCTTTGCTACGTGTGTGATAAAGTAATAGGGCTGATGAAACCACACCAAAAAATCCAGTCTCATTATTTAATAGCCTCATTTCCTTTAGTCTAATTACTTTTTCTCCATAGCATGTGTTTTTAAGTGTATTGAAAAAAATGATGGTTTCCCCCATGAGAACATATGGTCCGCGAGGGCCCCGGTGTTGGATTGTTCTCTGCTCTTCCCCAGCAGCGGAACGGTGAATGGAGCGCTCGGTGGGTGCTCAGAATGGCCGATGCATAGATGTAACCGTGTATGCACGCTCAGCAGAGGCCCCTGGCGTTAGTTACGCCTTTGCTTGGGAGCTTGGTTCAGATAATCACAGAATCTTTATCCGCAAAGAAGTAGAATAGACCCACATAAACCTGTAACTCTGCCAGAGAGTGGGTGTGCCCCAGGGATACACCCCTAAACAGGTAGAAATCCTGTAAGAGCCAAAGGGGGAGGATGGGATATTACGTAAGTGGATGGAGTTGAGGAATTATGGTAGAAAATATCAATGAATATTGGCCAGTAAAATTGGAATCTGTCAGTTGTGGTAGAGGAAACTGGCACAGGGTGCTGGTCAAAGTCAGGGGAGGCTGGGCTGGGACCCCTGAACTGTGTTCAGGCAGCAAGGGGAGGGCCCGTTAGGAGCTGGCTTCACAGAGGGTCCTTGAGTCAGGCCGGGGGGTGGAGGTGGGGGCATCCTGGCTCTAGCACGTCCAACTGTGAGGTCCTCCACTGTCACTTGCCTCTGTGAGGACCGAGCGAAATACTGGGCGTGGGGTGTGTATGTGTGTGTGTGTGTGTGCGCACGCGCTGCTACTATGGGAAGCCCCCCACCACCCCACTCCCGCAGCCTCAGCTGAGCCTTGCCCTTCTCTGGCAGACAGGGCGCAGTGTGGGGAGTCTAGGCCACGCTCCACCTGCTTGGGGTCACCCGAAATAGAAGAAACCACATTATCTCCTGGTCCAGCCCGGTTGGCTTAATGTGATTTCAAGTAGCTCTTCCACCCTCCTCCAGGATTTATTCAGCTATTTACTGATGCCTGACAATTTATTTAAAGAGGGAGAAAGCTTTTAATTCCACAATTAAAAGGCTTGAGGTTCTAGTTGAGGTAACGTTTCAGTGTGAATGGGTTTTAATTAAAATTCAATCAGTCAATCATAAGTAAGGATTAGATAATCTCAAATTTTCCCAGGTGATAAGGGGAGGGGAGGGGAGGGAGCACGAGGGCCCCGGCTGCCTTGCAGGAGGGCCGGAGAGCTCAGTGGAGGGAAAGCACCAGTAACCTGGCACGCACCCCCGTTTGGCCTGGGGCCTGCCCCGTTGACTCTGACCAGCTGGAAATCCCAACTTTGCGGGTTCTCCTGGATGGGAGGCCACCCAGGGCTGATGCGGTGGCTCTTTAGAATGCCAGCTCTCTTGTAAAGGAGCTTCATCCCTGGGAAATATGTAGATTGAGGAAACAGTATAGCTTAGGGCAAGAAGTAAATGCCACCACAGCACCTTATTTAATAATATCAGTATTTCGCATAAGATACACCTGAGAACCAACAAAATGTAACGTTGAGTTTTTTGATACATGTAGGTAATTTTAACTAAAACCTTGCTTTTTTCCCTTCCTTTGAAATTTGTACCCGGCTTCAGGAAACATTTTCCTCTTTCTGTGTATATAGACCTTGTAGTTTCCAAACTCGTGTGTTCCGAAGCAGTCGGCTTGACGTCGTCTCCCCGTGGAATCCTGCTTCCACTGAATGCATCTGCTTCGCGGCAGAACCCAAGCATTCCATCTCGTTGATCTCATTAAGGTCATTTGTGCCTTTGGTAACGTTTGCTTGATCTCCTAATTTTTGATAGGTTCTAGGCCAGATACTAAGGACAGAAAAAGGAAGGAATTCAGACTTTCAGGGGAGACATCAACAGAGTTGTGCTCACTTAGTGATTGCATGCCGTGGCCCGGCAGGGGGAGCGGGAGGGGCACAGACGGTGGACGGGAGCCACCAGGTAAGTGGCCGAGAAGGGTGGCCCAGGCCGAGGAAACAACAGGCAAAAGGCAAAGAAGCCTGACAGCACGTGTGTGTGTGACAGGGCACCAGTCGTGTGAGGCAGTGGAGTGTTTGAGGGGGGAGCCAGAGAGCTTGCTTGGTGCCACCTTCTGGGGGTGGGGGTGGGGGGCGGCCTTGGGTTAAGCTGAGGAACAGGAGCCTTGTGTTGCTGGCGCTGAAGAAACCCCCGGAGTGTTTGGTTGGCAGGCGATGGGGGGGGGGGGTCTGCGTTCGAAAGGCAGCCTGGAGGCGCGCGGGAGAGCTGGGCGGGGGCAGGCCGCTGCCCCGAGAGCACCCTCTCTCACTGTATCCGAACTGAAAGTGCACTAGTGCTTTGAGCCCGTAATCCCGTTCCCGGGAACGTTTCACCGGCTGTGTTCCCACCCGCCTACCAGGAGGCGCCAAGATGTTCACCGCAGTGTTGTTTACAATAGAGAAAGGTCGGAAACAACCCAGGTGTTCCGTAGTGGGAGGCCCTTTTGCTGAGGTAGCGCCCAAGGAGTAGCTTCGGGCCTTGAGGTGAGGGAGGCAGCTCTGCACGTGTGACGCGGGGCGCGGGCAGGACGCTGTGTGGAGAACGCTGGGCAAAACGACAACAAAAACAGCCCACCAGAAAACCAACCAGGACACGGACACACACACACACACACACACACACACACACACACGGAGGCAAGACATTGTGTTGGGTGAGAAAAGCAGCACTGGAAACAGACGGGCTCCTTCGTGGCTGCCACTTAGCGCCCCGCCTCCCCGTGAAGGGGGGAGAAGTACCGAACGCGACAGGGCCCTGTGGAACAGCCAAGTCCGAGGACACGTGAAGTGTCGAACACTTAGAACATTGCCAGGCACGTGGTAGGTGATTAGTGATTGCTTTTAACAACAGCCCCGTTCCTGTTTTGTTACATATGTAAAGCGCTTCTGGAAGATGCACCCGAGTCAGTCAAGGGGGGTTGCCCCCCGGGAGGCAGCCTGTTCTTTATCTTGCACTTCTGTACTGTTTGAAGAAAATTAAAAATCATTTTAGTCTTTGCTAAAATAGAAAGACTGTCGCCAGAGCCCAGACACAACGATGGGACACAGAGGCAGAGCTGGCAGGGAGGCAGAGGGGAAGGTCACCGGTCAGGAGGGCATTGCGGGCAGGACCGGCCTGGAGCTGAGGCACCCGACTGACGGCAGTTCGTTCTTGGAGTCAGGAAACTCAGGAGGAGCGGGCGGGTAGACTGAGGCAGGGGAAGTGGCTGGGAGACAAGAGCATGACACATTGTCCTAGTTAATCTGAGAAATTCCTACTCTCTGAGTGCGGAGTCGGCCTGTCCCCAAGAAGAAAGGAAGGAGAAATACGCTCTCCCGCCCTGGACACCTGTGGCTCTGAATGGCAGCTGAGTTTTTTTCTGGTCTTCAGCTACTTATGAGTTTCCCCTAGCAACTGTTTGTTGCTAAGCAGTTTTTTTTTAAATGCCAGAGATCAACTAAGAGTAAAAGAGGAATTTGAAAGGGTTCAATACGTGTTTCTTGTTGTATATGCTTAAGGTGTTGGAGTTGACGCGTAGTGGATCACCGGTCGCCGGCCTTGACCTAACATTGCGTCATTCGCGGGAGCTGGCGACACCACTCGCTCCACTGGTCGGGGCTCATTGGCCTTCCCTTCCTGAAGGAGCTGGGCTGCCCTGGCTCGGGGTGCCCAGCAGCCTTCAGGTGCGCAGGATGGCCGGGCAGGCCCTAGAGCATCTGGCCGGGGAGGGCAGCTGTGGGCTAACGTTAGGATCCTGTGTTTCGAGGGGAGTCTGCCCACCTAAAGTGACTTAACTCCCCTGTCTTTGCTCCTTGTGGAGGGAAGTAGCTGCTGAGCTAGGAACTGCAGGGGAGAGGGGGCGGGGGTGGAAAGGAGGGGAGGGAGGGAAAGACCAGCCAGGGTAAGGCCTACAAGGGAGCCGCCTTCTCCTGGCACATCTGCGGGGCCAGCTAGACGTGCACTGTGATGCCTCAGGAGGAGTTACCAGACACACTCCTGGGTCCTTGATGAAGCCCCATTACGTTGCTTTCCACGTGGGATCCTAACCCAGTTTCTGAACGTGTCTGACAAACTCTGCCAGCTGTGGTTTGTGAGTAGGGCCTCTGGGAAGGCTCTCTGCGGGGAGGCCGTGGAGTCCCCACCCGCGCTCTGCGAAGTGAACTGAGGCGCTCTGTCCGCAGCCCAGAGGTGGGGAAGTTGAGGCTAATCTAAACACGCGACGGCGTGGAGCCTTTAGCTTCAAGGCCCCCGTGGAAACATCCTCTGTCGCGCCAGCAACGGGAATAGCACCGTCGTCCATCGCTTGCTTGCGTGGGTGAAGGGTCTGCGCCCATCACGTTTGTTCCTCGCGGATGGCTTCTGTTCCCTTGTGAAGGGTTTTACTCTCCTACGCCACTGAGGCTTCTGAATGAAGCATCTTGCGGTAAAGCATGTTTTTGTTAAACTCCTATGAATGTTGGTGACATCTTCACAAGCCACGTTTATTCGTCAAGGGTTATGTGCTTTTGTTATAAATATGCCGTGGTTTCGAGGCAGCATCCGTAGCTCCCCTGGGGGAAATACAGAATTCTCATTCATTTTGCCTATTGGGCCACTTTTATGGTAAACATGGAGAACGTCTTCAAGTAATTTTATGAATGCCAGATTAATGTTCTGGATTTTCACCGTCTTCAGGGAATTCCAGCACAAAACATATCTAGTGATCCAAATTAGTCGAAGCTCCTTTTTGCCTAATTATCTACGAGTGACTTGTAGTTCTGTAGATTTTTTTCTTGAGGAACCTATGACACCTCAAACTGTACGGCCCTAAATCCACTAAAGTGACAGCCCAGACTTCGTTCGCCCCTCTTTTTCCTCTTCCTCTGGTCCTTCCACACTGTGATATTTGAAGAATGACAGCATCTTCCTGCTGGTGCCCATGGGGGTAGACGGTCCCTGTCTACAGTGTTGCTACTCGCTAAACATAGTTTGTACTTGTTTGGTGTTCACTAACACAAAGGATTTTTTTGTTACTAGGATTTACAATGGTCTCTGGTGTTTGCAGGAAGCACCCCAGTTATACACCTTCCTGAGGTGGGGAGCCCCATGTTTTTGAGCCCTGGCAGTCCCGTCCCAGGAAATACAGTAGCAGTATGGAGAAGTAGATCTTAATTTTTAAAATTAAATTATTTGTCCTCTGACCTTTTTCAAGGGCTGTGATAATTTCCAGAGGATCAGAACTGCTCATGGAGTCCAAATATTAGGTCCCATGCACGTATTTCTGCTTTCTTTTGTTGGTGGTGGTTCCTTTTGCGTTCTGGTTTGAGTCGGGAGAAGAGGACCTGGCGCTCCTGGCTGCGGCTGTGTTTGATGTGCGCCTGGCCGGCCTGCAGTTGGGAGCTGTGTGGCTCCAGCGGCTCCGTAGTTCCCAAGGAACGATGTCCCCTGTGCTGAGCCAGCCCTGAAGCCTTGTGCTCTTCCTGCAGGCCCCTTCATCAGCGTGGTCCTGTCAAAGCTGGAGAACATGCTGGAGAACTCTCTACATGTTAATTTGCTGCTTATTGGGATCATTACTCAGCTAGCCAGCTATCCCCAGCCCCTCCTGCGCTCCTTTCTGCTCAACACCAACATGGTCTTCCAGCCAAGCGTCCGTTCTCTGTATCAGGTACGTTTGCTGAGCCCATATCCGTACCTGTCGGTATGGGTGCTCAGCAGCACAGCTGCTTCTCTCTTCTTCTTTGTTGTTTGGTTGTTTTTTCGAATTTTCCCTCTGTTCTAATTCACTTGCTCTCTTTTCCTGTCCTATTATGCTAGTTGTGTAGATTATTCTAGACAAATTGCAAAGCTTCATTCAGTTGGATGTTTCAAGGGTGTCCTACCAAGAACACCCGGGGAGTCAAAAACAAGCAGATGCCTAGTATCATAAAAGTTCCTGCAACGAGGGCTGTACCTGAAAGAGATACTGATAACTGAGGGTGGAATTCCATTATGAAGCCTTAACGTCATGGAGTGTGGTTTCTGACAGGTCCTCGCGTCGGTGAAAAACAAGATCGAGCAGTTTGCTTCTGTGGAGAGAGACTTCCCAGGGCTCCTTATACAAGCCCAGCAATACCTGCTCTTGCGAGTGGACACGTCCGACTTGAGCCCTGAGGCGCTAACCAAAGGTAAGCCCGTGACCATCTCCCCTGGGTCGGTTCTCCCGCTGCCTCGCCACTTCCCCAGCCTCCTTCCTGATTTGGGTTCACAGATGCCGTGCTGGCTCCTGGGCCCTAGAAGCATCTGAATACATTCTCATGTTCCCCCAAGCTACGGGAGGGGCTTCCTCTTAGTTTCTGAAACGTAAAGAAAGGTCTCCCTGCCGGCCTGGCCTGTTCCCAGCTGGGAGGGCTTAGTAGGGCATTTGTTGCCCTTCCTGACGGTGGTTCAGGGAGGGAGTGCTGTTGTGTTGCTGTTCGCCTAGAATAACTTGCCAGGAAGAGGCATTACGTGCACACTCTGAACTGTATTTTGGCCAGTCTTACCCTGAGGAGGGCATCCGTTCTCCTTATTATGTTTTCAGAGACTCCAGGCCCTAAATAAATGTGCTTGAGGGCTCTAGAAGGTAAAGCCTATTCATTTGGACTGGGAGAAGTTTGGTTTATGCTCAGCTTAAAATTTCTGAGCGTGCCTTTTTGTCAGCCCGGAGGTGCCGGGCTGCGTGGTCCACGCAGAGCGGGAGAGCCCCGGATGGTCCTGCAGGCTGGCCAGGCCTTGGGAGCACCTCGCTTTGCCTCATGTAAACTCTGGCTGGCTGGCCTTGGTGACTAGCGTCTTTGAGCCATGATCTAGGCCACAGTGAGCGCAAACTAGGGAATGCCCCATATTGTGCTAGCCTTTGCGTGTCTCCATACAGACAAATCGGCCTTGTGGCAGGTGAACAGTAGGGAGTGTGGGGCTCTTGGTCCCATGCTAAAGGCATGTGGTCAGAGACAAGATTGAGAGTGAGAGGCAGGAATAGAACTCAGGGCAAGTTTTAGACCTTATAGGAAGCTAAAAAGATCCCAGAACTCTGATGGCTTGACCTTGTCTCTGTGTAGCTGTTTGATCTTGGTCACTGGGCCTCAATGGGCCTCCTGTTCCTTGACTTTTAAATGAGGGATTTGTTTTCCATCTCAAGTCCTTTCTGGCTGTGAAGAGCCTTCGGGGCATTGCAAGGCACATTTCTGCAAGAAAGGTGTGCCTGTGCCACTGGGAGGTGAGGGGGCAGGCTTTAAGCTTTGGCCCCGAGAAGAGCCGCCAGGCCAGGCCATTCATGGCGGGGAGTATTCCCCATCCCCATCCCTGTGGAGAAGTGGGCCCCACATGGCCTCTTCTAGCTCGTAGACAGCTGGTCTGTTAGCTGTGTTACTCCTGAACCTGTAGTGACTGCTGTCACTCACCCTGGGAGAGTTAGCCTTGGTGCATAACTAACCAGTAACTCAGGGGTCCAAAGAAAGCCATTTATGAGTGCCCATGGGTGTGCGTGCATGGTTATCCAGGTGTTCTGATCAGGCGCAGGCTTGGTGGATTTTGGCTGCACTGTGTGTTGCTGTCGGTGGGTGGCTGAGATGGCCTCACACATGGGTGGTAGCCGGCTGGGGTGATGGGGATGGTGGGAGTCTGTACTTCCTCTTAGCCAGGAGGTTAGCCCTGGCTTGTCAGCCTCCTGGCTGTGGGGTTGCACGAGTGAGAGCAGGACTGGACCAGATCTTTTGAGGCTCTGTCTTGGGATACAAATCAGGTCAGTTTTGCCACATTCTTTTGGCCAAAGCAGGTCATTGGGCCAGCCCAGGTTCAAGGGTGGCAGACACTGTCCACCTCTCGATGGGAAGAACTCTAAGAATTATGGCCATTTTTGCAATCTGTAGACAGAAGGTGCCTTGAGTCTCTTTACATTACACTCCACGCTCGGTGCTCTTCATTTCTATTATTCAGTTTGTTCAGTGCTTTCCCAATTGTGTTTTCAAACAGCTCTGTGAAATGGGCAGGAAAGGTCCTGTTGGCTTCATTTTCATACCAGGCAGCTGAAACTAGAGGCCCGGTGTGGTCGGCCAGGGTCACAAGGCTCAAGTGCCTGAGGCTGTCCTGCCCAGGGTGTGGAGCTGAGGGCACAGACGCTGACTGGCCTCCCGGGCCTTCCCTGACCCACACGTTCTGGTGGAGGTCACTCATACCTTGTGCTTTGTCCCAGCTGCAGACTGCTTCATGGCAGTGGCCGCCAGGTGTGTGTCCAGGGGAACTTGATCCCACCACATCCGGTTATCAAATTAGCCACGTTTGATGCTTTCTAAGGTCTGTGACGTTCGGGAGGCTTTGACGTGCAGGAAGCTTCCCTCAGGGAAGAAGACTCTCCTTTAACAGAGTTGTTCAGATGAACTCCCCAGCTTCTTTCAGATTCCCAAAGTGACACCCTCCTCTCAACTTTCAAAATCTCTAAGCTCATAGAATGAGACATGGTCCTGTCCCCTCGCGCAGCACTGACTCCTGATGCATTGAGTGTGACGTGATCGCCTACAAATAAATGAGTTGAATCCGGGAGTGTGAGGGTCCCGACAGCGGGCCAAACATTGGGGTTTGCGGCGTTGGCGTGCTGTGGACGGGGAATGAGTCTGGAATGGATTTCTCGCCTAACTTTGAGATCTTGCTAGAATTAGTCTTGAAAACCCTCTGTTGTGGCTTTTCAGACCCAGAGCAACATTTTAGAAAACGACTCCTGAGTCTGACATTTATTTGTACTTCCCTTCTTCCCTGCCTTTTCCTTCAGGTGCCTGGGTGCTTGTTAGGATGGGCGGAACCCGGGTGCCTGGAGCCAGAGTTGCTCGGTCACGCAGGCCCTGCAGTCCCTTGGCCTCCAGGCAGCCCTGGTGAGAAATGGGCCTCCTCACTAACACTGCACACAGAAGCGAAGGTCCACGTGGGCAGACTTCCTGTGCCAGCTGTCACACAGTCCTCCTTGAGACTACTGATCTCTGGGCTCAGCCACTTCCCCTCAAATACTTTCCAAACCACAGAGGTTGTATTTACTTGTATTTAGTTATCTTCAGAGTCCTTTCAGATCTCTAGTTCTGGAAGGGAGGTTGGGTCAGTGGTATTTTCTTTATTTTTATTTTTATTTTATTTATTTATTCATGAGAGACACACAGAGAGGCAGAGACACAGGAAGAGGGAGAAGCAGGCTCCATGCAGGGAGCCTGAAGTGGGACTCGATCCTGGGTCTCCGGGATCACACCCTGGGCCGAAGGCAGGCACTAAACCGCTGAGCCGCCCAGGGATCCCTTTATTTTTTTTATTTTTAAATATTTATTTATTTATTTAAATTTATTTAGTATTTTCATTTTATAGAAAAGGAAGTGGAGACACTGTACAATAAGCTAGTTGCCAGGTAGGAACTATAACTCGGGTCTCCTTGCTGTTGAGCTGAGGGCCTGGTGGTGCTTTGTGACACCCCGAGGCCACTCCCTCGCTGATAGCACCGCCCTCTGTAAGGGTTTCCCTGTGAGTCCTCATGGGCATGCTCCTGCCTCCATTAGTGAAGACAGTTTTTTGTTTTTTGTTTTAAAGATTCGATTTCTTTATTTGAGAGAGAGAGATAGCAAGAGACAGAGCACAAGCAGTGGAGAGGGAGGAAACAGACTCCCCACTGAGCAGGGAGCCAGATGTGGGGCTCAGTCCTGGGACCCCAGGGATCATGACCTGAGCCAAAGGCAGCCACTTAATTGACTGAGCCACCCAGGCATCCCAGTGAAGACACTTTTGGTTCTTGGATTCAAGTGGATCAATGAGCCTTAGTAATGACACTTTTTTTTTTTTCTTAAGTGATGACACATTTTGGAATTCATGATCAAGCTAGATAAATGAGTCACAAAAACCCTTTTTTGGGGGAAAAGAGGAGTGAATGTGAAAGAGGAAGATGGAGATGAAGAATGTGCACCAGTTCCAGGGAGATCAGGTGTGGGGAAGACCCGATGTTGGGCAGCTCCTTCCCTCCTTCATTCAGTGGATGTTTATTAGCTTCTATGAATAAGGAAGTGTGCTGGGGGCTGTGCAGGCCACATCACCCACGGGCTCGGCTCTCAGAAATCTCAGTCTGGGAGAGGACTGAAAACGTAAGATCACGAGGCTGGAGGGCAATGCAGGCCTTAGCTGGTTAATAAAATAAGGTGGGAGACTAGAGCAGAGAATGGCCTCTGGGCCAGGAAGCGGAAATCTCTGTGGAGTCAGGGGCAGCGACGTTTGGATGACCCTGCCTCTGTATACGTTACACATACTGACTCACTGTTTTTTTTTTTTTTACCTCTTTTTTGTTCATTTATTAAGGTATAATTAACATATGATGTTATATTACTTTTAGGTGTACAACATTGAATCAACAATTCCGTGCATTTCTCCGTGCTCACTACCCTAAGTGCGGTTACCATCTGTCACCACACATTCTTGCAGTGGTAGTAACTATATTCCTCATGCTTTACTTTTCATCTCTGGGACTTACTTATCTTATAACTAGAAATTCGCACCTTTTAATCCCCTTCATCTATTTCCCCCATCCTGCTGCCATCTCTCCCTGGGCAACCACCAGTTTGTTCTCTGTTTCAGTCTATTTTGTCTTTCTTTGTTCATTTTGTTTCTTAAATTCCACATAGAAGTGAAATCATATGGCATCGTTTTCTGTCTGACTTATTTCACTTAGTCTAATGCCCTCTAGGTTCATCCATGTTGTAACAAAGGGCAAGATTTCATTCTTTTTTATGGCTAATGCTCCATTACACACACACACACACCACTAGATCTTTATTCATTCCTCCATCAGCGGACATTTAAGTTAACTTCTATATCTTGGTTATTGTAATGCTGCAGTGAACATAGGGTTGCACAAATCTTTTCAAATTAGTGTTTTTTTCTTTGAGCAAATACTCTGAAGTGAAATTATGCATCATATGATAATTTTTTTTGAAACTTTTTGAGGAAAGCCCATACTGTTTTCCACAGAGGCTGCACCAGTTTGCATTCCCACCAGCAGTGCAAGAGGCTTCCTTTCTCTTCACATCCTTGCCAACACTTGTTATTTCTTGTCTTTTTGATTCTAGTCCTTCTGACAGATGTAAAGTGGTGTTTCATTGTGATCTCATTATTCAGGTCTTCTGCCAACACTTAATTGGATTGTGTTTTGGTATTGAGTTGTGTATTGACTCATTTAATCCTCAGAGCAACTTTTGACCCGTGAGGACATCAAAGTACAGAGAGGTAAAGCCACCTCCTTGATGCCGCTCAGCCCGTAAGTGGCAGAGTCTGTGCTCTTCTTAACCACTGCCCGGTGTCTCTTGGGACTAGTAAGAGAGGTGTGGAGAGCTACGGGGAAGGGAATTCCATGAACAGAGTCTTGGCCTGGAATCACCGCCCACGAGTCCCACTCCTCACTGTGGTCCAGGCCAGCTTCCCTCATGAGCTTTCCTGGGCCCTTTGTAGAGCTTCGGTGCTGAAGGACCAGCGTGGGGGTGCCAGCGGGAGGTCTCCCAAGGTTGGCATTGTGCTTCAGGGATGTCAGCGCTTTTGTCCTCTATTGTCAGGACATGTTGTGTGTTTCTGCCAAAAGGTAGCAGCAGACCGATTTTCAGCAACTTTTCCAGTTCTTTATGGCATGAACTGTGATAAACTTTAATCTAAAAGATATTTAAAGCAGTAAAGCAGAGGATTTTTTTTAACACTAAAGACTATAGTAGTGAGATGTGGAAAGTACTATAAATGTCAAGAATTTTTAGTGCTGTAGTTATGCGACACTCAGAGTGTTGAAAAATGGGACTGAATTCTAAAAAGCAGCCAAAATAATGAAGAACTTGAATGTAATGATTTATAAAGAGTAGTGAGACTGTTTGAGTAGGGGCAGAAGGAGGCATAAATAACCCCTATATATATATATGAAGGCTGAAGACATTTAAGAATTCAGTAGTCAGGAAAGTTGGACCATTTTAATTAGTAAAACTGATTTGATATGGAATTGCAAATCATTTGAATATGCTAAAGTTTGGGCTCAGCCCAGATCCCTGTTACTGAAACTGAGACGGAAACCCCTGGAAACCTTTCCTAAAGGGAGGCTTCCAAGCCAAGGCTTCCAAGGGACTGCCACTGGATGTCCATGGTTGTGGGAAGTTGCCGGTCTGGTTGGTCTTACTGGCACCCAACTTCCTCTCCCTTATTTCCAACCTTGAAAAAGCTTTTTCCATTCTGTTCTCCAAAGACAGCTGGAGGTTCCGGCCGCAAACAGCTGAGGGTCCTGAGGGAGCCCTTGAGGCCCGAGCTGCACTGGGAATGGCTTGTGTAGTCCAGCATGTCTCCTGCGGCAACGTTATGTGATCGGGCCTACTTGCTAACTGTAGAGTAGTTCCCCCCAGTACCAGGAGGCTGGGGAGAGCAAGTGGAGCCTCTGGACTCCCCCAGGTAACACGTGGTTAGCTAAGTCTTCACCTGGTTGATGCAGTGGCTTCATTTTTTCCCTTTGCCATGTCCTGGGCATAGAAGGTTCCTGATCAACCTATTTTCTTGCTACGCTTTTTGCCTAAATTTCCTTACACAGGATTTGGGATAAAACTCTTGTATCACGTGCCCTCTGCTGGAGGTTATCTGCTGTGCAAATATGCGAGCCACAGGGTGGATATGGTGTGTGTTCAAGGGCTGTGTCTTCAGACTTCAGTTATAGGAACTGAACCCACGACTGGTTCCCTCAGACGCCACCCCTCAAACACACATACTTCACTTAATGAGAGGATGGACGTAAAGGACTATGGAGGGGCACCATGTGACCGTTTTCTTTCTGGTTTCAGATCCCATTCAAGATGCTTCCAGGACAGGAATTGGCAAGAACCTTTTGGATGGTCCCCCAAGAGTGCTTCAGCCCTTCCTGACGAACAGAGCCAAGGTGGCTGGGGTGCCGCCAAGCCTGCCCCTGCCCGTGAGGAACACCATGTTGGCTGCTGCCCTCTTCCCCGAGTTCCTGAAGGAACTGGCTGCCTTGGCCCAGGAACACTCCATTCTGTGCTACAAGATCCTCGGTGACTTTGAGGACTCCTGTTGTTAGCTTTTTTTTTTTTTTTTTCTAAATAGAGGTTCTTGTTTTTTAAGGTTTTAGTGTCTTGACTGAATGTTAAATGCAAAGCTGCTTACAGAAATTTCTACTTTGATATTTCCTGACAATACTTGATTTGTGGGGAGGGCAATTTTCTGTATACCTCCTCTTTCTCTAGCCGGGTCTTTCCACCTTATATAGAATGTAAGTCTCATAAGCTGGTGGCTCCTTTGGCAGGTTTTCCTTTTTCCTCCTCCAGTTTTTCGGTTGTTAAATTCTCCCATCCCTTTGAGTCACTCATCTTGCAGCTTAGGTCACACTAAGCCAATCCTGGGGTTCAGTGATTTCTGCAGGTGCCCCGGGTCAGAAGGCTGAGCTGTTCAACACACACGAGGAGTACACATCTGCTCCGCTGCCTTCTGTGTTCTGGCTCCATTTCACAAAAGGAAAGAATAAAGATGGAGCCCCTCTTGCCTCCATCACGCAAGCACACATCTTTTGTCCCTTTGCATTTTACTTCCAAGATTTGCACTCTGCCCAAACCGTGTTGCCTTATGGTATGGGCAAATCCACCGGTCTCAGCTTTCTGCCTGGGAAGTCAGATGTAGTGGTGGAGAATTTGGAATGCAGGGAAATTTTCTTGTTGCTTGAGAGCTTTCTTTAATCAGTATATCACTACCTAAACACTGGAAATGGCCTTATTTTAGTAAGATTTGCACAAAATGAAATATACAAACTGTTACATTGGGTTTTAGGACTTTGATCTGATGAAGCAAGCAGGGTATCATACACTTCTGTATCATTATTTTTTAAGTGTTTTATGAAAGGCGAACAATTTGTGAAGCTATGTTACAGTGGGTTTTTTGGGGTAAAGGGGAAGTATGGAGTGGGGTGGTGGGAGGAAGGATAAAGGTAAACTAAATGCAGCCTGTAAAAAATACTGGCCACTGTTTTAGATTCTGTGTGCTTTCTCTAATATGTTGTACTTTGCAGAGAAACAGGAACTGCACAGCCTCTTTGGGACCTGGGATGGAAGTGTGAACAGGTCACAGGGAGCCCTGCAAAGCCAAGTGCCTGCTCGTGACTCACTGCACACAGAAATGCTGCCTTCTGAGTAATGGGGTTCATTAGAAGGCCCCAACATGATGTATTAGCGCCTCCGTGCTGCTTTGCAGCCTGCTCCAAGAGGCGTAATTATACCTAGCGCCGGTCTCCTTAAACCACCAAGAGGGAGAAATGCACACAATAATTGTGCATAAAATGAGACCATAAACAGCTGATATTTGTGGATATCCAATTCCCGCCCCCCACCCCTTATTTTGTGCAGGTGAGAAGCACATAACAGGGGCGGGCCTCCCTGTCTGGAGGGAAATTGGAAGTCCCAGCTCTCCTTGTTTTCTGTGTGGGCATCGTTGCTGGGCCCTGGGGGCAGCCACAGGTCTGGCCATCATGCCTCTGGAGAACGGGTATGGGCTTAATCAGGCCCCTGGCACAGGAGAGCAGTGGGGGGACAGAGTCACAGCTGAGACCCTGCAGAGCAGAGGCTGCTTTTTTGTGCTTCATGGATCTTGTCGCAGCTTTGTATTGAGAGAGCGCCAGCCCAAGGAAATGAGGATCCCAGGAGATCTGGTCTGGGCTAGGAGGCTCTTAGCAGCCTGCCTCACAGTGTTTCCCAGTCTAAGCAAGAAACCAAAGATACCAACCTATTGTCTGTTTCTGACTTCACATCTATCTGTCTTGGAAAAGGGTTTGCCCAGCTGTGGTACAGCAGTGGGAAAGTATGAGGCCCGGCAGACTGGCCTGCTCGGGGCTTCCTGGCACTCACTGGTATAGGCAAACCCCCGGGTCTCCAATGGAAAAGAACTTGGCTTAAGGTAGAGAAAAAAGAACAGGAAGATGGGATTTAAGCTGTAATTTATTATCCTCTAGCTTTGTTTTGCACAAGTATTTATCTTCTGGTTTGGACTTATACCTAAAATGTTAAAGTCGTACCTGGAAAGTGTATTCCTCAGCTTTTTGGTTTGATGTACTCTTCTCTCCATTATCCAGTGTTGGTGTCTATTCTTCTTCAGTCCATGTTGCTTTATTAGAGTACACCACAGGCTCACATAGAAGGTGCCCTTTTAGGAAAGAGATTGCTTTTGTGCCTCCTAGCATTTTTAAAAATAGGTATTGAACTAGACTTACCTTAAAGGAGGACAGAGATGACCCAGTGTCTGGGGTGGGAGGCAGGAAAATTAACTCCTATGATGGGGTGCTGGTAGCAAACCCCCATGATGACCCTACTTGGAATTGGAAACTGGCTCATCTGTCTGAATCCGATATAGGCCTCCTCCAGAGTATTGTGTCCAGGGGTTTTCAAAATGAAGTCAGAAATTTGATCTGGAAATACATTGTAGAGAACTGGAAAACCCACACGGTTGAGGGAAACAGCCAGGTTCAGAGAATGGTGTAGATATAACAGAGGAGAAACAGCAGAATCCCGAGGCTACAAAAAAGAGCAAATCCTGAAGGGTTCGGAGGAATGACCTTCCATCTAGGCCGATATGAAGACACTGTGCAGCAGGTGGGTGATGATGGGAATTCCTTGGTGGGCAAAATCATGGTAATGTAGAGTATTCCAATCAAAGTAACGGGTGAGGCCCTTAGAAATGTGTATTTTGTAATGTGTTTGAGAAAAATTTGTAAAGATACTGGCATGCTTTAAAATGTCCCAGAGCATGGTCACTTTTCCATGTGACAGGCTCCCAGACACTGTGCTATTTGCTGGAAGGCACAGGGGGCGCAGACCCTTACCTGCAGCCCCGAGTTGGCGTCACTGTGTCTAGCCTGACGATCCTGGGCAGTGAAAGCCACTGCAGGGTTCCTGGAACCTCACACATAATTTCTCCATTCATAATGCAGGGTCTGAGGTAAAGTTCTAGATGGGGTGAATTTTATGATTCAAAATATAGGCTGAGCACTAGGGTATTTAAAATAGATTTTTAGAAATGACCAAGTCAATGTTTTTAAAAATTTAAACAAAGAAATTCCAGGTGAGTTTAGCCTAAAATACCATTTCTTGGGAGGTGGATGGATAAATTACAATTTCCCAGCCATGAAATGGAGACTCTGGAATAACCAATTATAGAGATGCGATTTTCGTGATCAGTAGATATACTTCCTTTCTCTGGTATTTAGAGGAATCGTGAAATTGCCCCCCCTTTTATCTAGTACTGTCTTGGAAAATACTTTGATGTACTGATGGATTGGAACTGAGGTCTGTGTCACGTGTAGGGAGGATGCATCCCGTTCTTTTTCGGGTCCTCAGGGGTACCTTTTCCTTAGCAAGTGGCTTTAAGTCAGATGTAGTTGTTGATTTTCAATCCACTGAGACATCATGGAGCCATGGTGTTGTCAGGAGAACATCTCTTACACTTAGAATCCAGAGACAGGATATGAGACTGTTCGGGTTGCCTGTTCAGGTTGGGCAGCCAGTGGTACTCAGGGTGGAAAGAGGTTTCAACATCTCTGAATCGGCATGGTTGCCATGGTTACATGGGTTGACTTCTAGATCTGTTTAGAGGTTCAGGAGTGTATAAGGGCTGCTCATTCTAAATCTGGATCGGTGTGCCTAGGTCGTTTTCACGGGAGAAGCGCTGCCCTGGCCGGGGTGGGCCGAGTCATTGGCGTGATGTGAAATGTGTGCAGCATAAGCTCCAGTTCTCATTTAAGGGCAGTTCAGTTTAATTGCTAATTACCAGTCCTGCATTTACTGAAATGGCTGTCAAGCTTGCCATTTTTATGAAACACTTTATTGCAGGACAGCTATTATTGCACGTGCTACTTCAAGTCACTGGCCCAAGCTGGTGTAATTTGTGGCTTGCTGTGAATCTCGGCCAGCTCTGCAGTGTTAGCTTTTCCTGGAACCAGCAGTCGGTCCTCTGGTGGCTGAGGCCACCCAGCTCTCAGTCATTAAGAAGGTATTCTCAGGCCCCTTCTCACTTCAACCATCATTCTATAAATCACACGGCACTAATTCTCCATCAGATCACAGCTTAAAACAGAACTCTGTCGAACTGGTTTATACTCCATCCTTAAATCACATCACTGACGAAACATTTTAAGAAAATGGAGTTGACGTTTTTCCTTTTTTTTTTTTTTGTTTTTAATTTTTTTTTTTTTATTTATTTATGATAGTCACACAGTGAGAGAGAGAGAGAGGCAGAGACACAGGCAGAGGGAGAAGCAGGCTCCATGCACCGGGAGCCCGACGTGGGATTCGATCCCGGGTCTCCAGGATCGCGCCCTGGGCCAAAGGCAAGCGCCAAACCGCTGCGCCACCCAGGGATCCCCGTTTTTCCTTTTTGAATGACCATCATAAACCTAATGCTTTAGAAAGAGCTCTTGGAAGACTAAGAATTGTTTTCAGGATAATTTTGCCTCAGTAAATCCTCTCTACATTCAGGCATTTATTAGGCCATTACTTGTTTTGGAGGACAGATTATCCTGGCAGCTCATTAACTGGATAAACGGGTTTAGTGTAAGATTTTTGGTGAGGTCCTACAGGGAAGAGGACAGGAGGAAAAATGGGGGGAAGCCTTTAGTTCTTTGGTGTCTGCACTTGGGATCCTAAGAGGATGATTTTAGCTAGGACTGACCCTTCCCATCAGGTCACTGTGAATTCCGTTCCCGTCTCACGACATGTGAGTAAACCTCGCTGTCAGCCACACAAGTTACAAGGCTGCCAATAGGCACCGTCGCTATGCATTCGATATGTAGTTCAGGCATCTTTTGGGGAGCTTAGATTTACTATGTCATTTCAGAACCTGACAAGGGTGATGGAAGCTTTTAGGCCAGATTATAAATTTCGTGCAGCTGAGGCTGCAGAGGTCTGTGCTTCTGAGTAGGTCTGTTGACTTTTTATTGGGACAAGTCTGCAAAAGACCTGTAACGAGGCCCCTTTTTGCCCTGGAGATATTTTTAAGAGGGAATTTGATCTTACTTAAATGATTTTTGCTAATTTGTTTGGCTAAGGGAGGCAATGGGAGAGGATTTCAGTCAGATTCTGTCCATCTCCTGCTTTAGGGTCAACTGTGTTCACAAATAATCCATGGATACATTAGTCTAAAACCTGCCAGGGAAGCATGGTAGCCATTGCCATGCTGCTTTTGGTAATGGTAAATAACAATGGCCTTTGCGAGAGACTCAGTGTGTGTTTTTCCACCAATAGTCACTATGTAGAACCCTTGAAAGGCTGCAGCACATCCAGTAGAAATGAGAAACACAGTGTGAACTGTAGGTCATTCCCATAAGCTGTGTATTGAATTAACTAACTCAAAGCTCTAGGAGGGTGTGTACTTTCAAAAATTCCCTAGCCTTCCTTCTTCCAGATAAGCAATAATTACAAAAGTGTGTGTGTGTGTGTGTCTGTGTGTAAGCTCAGCTAAAACATGCCAAACTTGGTATAAATAACAATTAGCTTCCTTTTCCTGGGGCGTGTATACTTTGAACGATAGGAACAGAAGTTCACTACGTTGCAGAAGCCTGGACAGAGTCAAGTAGCTCCTTCCTAGACCCAGATGTCCAGGATTTAAAAGCCTACTGGTTGGCAGCACCAACCTCCCATACCAAAAGGCCCCACAGAAAGCTGTCCACTAATTTTATTATATAAATTCAGTCACCGTTCACTGAAGTTATTCTGTGCCACACTGTGTGCCAAGTGTTGAGGCTGATGTTAACCTCCCACCAGAACCAACCAACCAACTCATTTTCAACTAATAGAACACATGGTTTGGGCCATGGTTTATGGCCAGGTAGAGCTGGGTCATGCCGACCTGAAGAAGAGCCAGTTTTCCAACACACCCCCACCCCCAGCCTATAGGTGTGTGGGTTCCAATGAAAGATGGCAATGGCTTTACCTGTGGCACCAACTCATACATTTTAATGAGATTTTCATCTGAACAGCAAACAACCAGACTGACTTCTCACTCATGGAAAGACTATGAGCAGAGCCATACTTGTGAATTTCTGACACTGTTGTGCAAGCACATCTTTTGACTGTATGGTCAGGTTCCAAGTAACATACCTGAGCTGTGCTTTGACTTTTTCTATTACCAGTTACAACAACACACCTGTCCAATTTTCAGGATGTCAGAAGTGAGCATGCAAGATCATGGGGCAATTGTCAGAGATTGACAGTCATCAGTGTAAAGATCAGATGTTCTCATGATGGCATTTTTCTCTGGAAATGATCCATACCACAGTTTACACTGGATGTAACAGGTTGGGTAAATGTCTTCATGCAGCTGCCCCCAAAGCCTTGATTTAAAATGGCCTGGAAAGCTCCCCGAGTGTCTTCTGTAGAGTTTGGTGTTCAAGAAGCCAGACTTTTGGTGAAAAAGGCATGTTATTTCTAACAGTGATCCTGCCAGAATCGGTCTTTGATTGCCTTTGCCCCTCTGTAATTCAGACTTGCAAGACAAGGGGAGGGAATGGACGCTGCCTTTTTTCTCTCAAAAAGAAAAATACTTTACTCCGAGGTCCAGTAGTTTTCAGTATTGGAACAGAATGCGTGAGGGGCACACAGCCTCCTGGGTGAGGTGACAGTCCCTCACAATCCTAAGTTGTTTTTTTTTTTTTTTAAAAAAACCTTACCTCTTCATGCTTGTCTGGAATAAAGCACACAGCTGGTCTCCTTTCTGTCCCTGCCTTCTCGACGCTTCTGTCACACTCTTAGGGAAGTCCTGAGTAACCGCCAGCTGCTGGAGCACCATCCGTTGCCACGCTGGCCACAGGGAGGGTCTGCTCTTCTCCAGTCTCCCAGCTGCCCCTGCGGCACTACTCGTGATGACAATGCCCAGACTCTTCTTAGTAGGCTAGGGGACTTCAGCGTAAACGCGGAGACTCCAGAATCTGGTCTGTTCCTTATGCCACGGTTTGACATGTGTTTTTAAAAAGGAGCATTTGAGAAATTGGTCTTTAAGCACTCTGAGCCAGAGGTAACAGGCATGCAGTGAACAGAGGGGCGCTCCAGTGCGGTAGACAGATGGCATTACTGTCCCCAGCACAGGGGCAAGGGCAACCCAGGCTTCATGAAGATGTTAACCACACTGGAATTACTGGTAAAGGTCATGATTTTGGTGTACTAGTTGATAATCTTATTCTTCCCAGGCAAAACAAATCAGTTTAATGTTACAGCTTTTTTCCTTTTTATCCTTTTTCTGGCCTGGGTGGTGGGGCAGAAGAGTTATCAACTGCACAATCTTTGAAGTGTAAGTTAATTTTTTATGTGATATTTCAGTATATATTTTATTCATTAAATTTATTTGAAAACTTCTGTGTTTTTTTTTTTTGTTTTGTTTTTTTCCTCTTAGTCCACAGATGGAGAAAGGCTAGTAAGACCAAACCCTCCTCCCCATCTTCAGAGGCCTCCCGAGACAACCATGTGTTTACAGCATGTCGATTCTGCTGTGGTTTTTAGTCCCACTCATCTACTTTCAGGTCTCAAATACTGCGTCTCAACCATGGTCTCTCTTGACCACTGTTCCTTCCTGGCACCCAGAGCAGTGCTTGGGACCCAAGTTTTTGGGACTTACTCAGAAATATTTGTTAAGGAATTGCAGAATGAGGCGTTTTCTTAGAATGGTGACATCATCTGAAATGGTGCCTCCTTTAGTTCAGAATCACTGAGCACTGGAACGTGCTATTTGCTAACCACTGCTGTGGTTGGAGCCATTTCGAGGTCCATGAAGCAACCGGGCTGTCACTGCTGGTCTGTGGGGGGGGCATCCTGGGGCTCCAGCTGGGGCCAGGGCCTGGGAGGCACCAGCTCTGTTGAGCCCCTGGATGTCAGGTGTCCCAGGCTCTGGTTCTCAGTCACGGCCGCCCACTCTCCCTCAGGGACCCAGAATGGCTCACGATGACAGCTTCTTCTCCAGGATCTCCTTTATCACAGTCGGGTCTGCTCGGCTGAGAGTTGCTTTTCGGACCAACCCAATCATTTTGTTTATAGCTCTGGGATTTCCCCTCTTCATGGCCAGTACCTTTAAAGACAGAAATTGTTTTACAGGAGAAGATAATGATGTGCATACTTAAAAATACTAAATTAAGGTTTATGGTTACTGGAATTTAGATTGTTTCTCTTCTGTTAGCATTAGATATTAAATGAGAAAAGGAAGAGGGGTGGGTGAGCTCCTGGGGTGGTTTCTGGGCTCCTGTCACAGGGCATGCTTGTCACTCTGCTGTTTGATGAAAGTGGACAAGAGGGCTATGACGCATCATGACTGTTTGCCCACAGAGAGAGCAGGTGCACAGGAACAAGGCCGTGCTCCTGGGTGCCACAATGACAGGAGAACATGGAGCTTCTCAGTCTTGGGGGTGAGTAACCTAAGAGGAATGATCTAGTCTAGTCAGAGCCAGGTCCTTCTCTAATCCTCCAGTCGTGTTCAGCAGGCACTGAAATGCATAGCTTTCCTCCCCATCTTAACCCCCTGCCAGGAAGACATGTTTATCAGAAAACAAGTCCACAGAATGGCAACTCTCCCAGAGCATTTGGGTTGGGGGTGCGCTGTGGTGGGCAAGATGGGGACTATGGAAGCAGGAGGCTCCAGATTCCTATTGAACAGCCACAGGCTGCCAGGGCCACCCACTCTGACCTCCTGCTCGGCAGCATCTTGATGGGTAATAACACGTGTGAGTGTCTGCACTTGGTGCCGGAGAACGAGTCCAAAACAGAGAGTGTGTCTTAATCATTCACTACAGATGAGGCAGGAAGATGGAGATTGCCCAGACGCAGTGCAAGCTCATTTTCCTTATCGAGAGCTCTTTTCAGAGCTGTTAGTGTTCCTGGCAAGCCGATGGGTGGGTGGGTATTTTTCTGAAAGCGATGCTAGCAATTTTTTACCCACTAAAAAATCTCTAGACAATGTGATTAGACTTGGGGAGGGAGGGATGGTGGTACTCTAGCTTTTTTTTTATTTTGTTCTATGCTTAGAACACAAAAGGACTTGGTTTTCAGGTATGCTCCTGTCAAGGATTTTCTCCATAATTCACAAATAATTTTCCTTTCTGCCTTTCTACCCACCTTTCAAAGGCAGGGAGCTAACGGGTCTGCCTATCTTTCTTTCCTTTCTGCAGTCATGCCTGCTCGTTCATTAGTGAGAGGTCTCCTTATAAAGCAGAGCTAGCTAGAACACATTCAAAGTGCATCATGCTGGGAGGTCAAAACTTGGACCTAGGGAGCTTGATAAACACCCCTGTAAACTGAACTCCAGGAGATTAAACCCCAGAAATGGATATTCTTTATAGGAAAAGTTGTCCTTTTCTAATCGCCTAATTTGAGCTCTTGACCTTAGCTAAAAACAGATAAAATGTATCAGGGGCTTCCTGATGCAACTGGGCCAGCCCTTATCAGGAGGGGTCTCAGGGCCACGAAGGGGAGCGGTGGAGAGGCTGTCGCCGGGTCCGCAGGCCGCCACGGGGACCCCTCACCCTGCAGGCCGTCCTTACCACTTGCGGGTGCTCCTCCATCACAGCGAGGCAGACCTGGTCCAGCGCCTCTCCATCCTGCATCAGTTCCAGCTGCTTTTCTGAAACAATCTGTGATGGAGTCTTCCCTTTACTCCTCCATAATTCCTCAAACACCTACGGGCCAGGGTGGGGGGGAGAGGGGGCATAGACATGAGCGCTTGCCTGGCTCTCCAGGCTGCACCCGGGGCGGGGGGCGGCAGGGACGCACCCGGAATGAGGCCGCTGCAGGGAGCCCCTGGTCAGGCTGAGCTGCACGCTGGGAACAGAGCAGACCATGGGGGGCCCTTGGCACCGGTGGGGTCGGCGCACGGCAGGGGGGCTGGAGGAGCTGCACCCCGAGGCCGAGCCAGCAGCAGCTGGGCCCACGCCGCCGGCACCTGCACAGAGGGAGGCCGTGTTGACGAGGGCAGCACGGCCAAGGGAGGTAACCGCTGCACCGAAATGAATGAAGTCCCCAAAAAAAAGCCTGCTGGGAATTATGATCTTAGGGGGGCAAGAGAGGGGCCCCATAATGAAGCTACAAAATGGAAAATAACTAAAAACATAAATCCTAATCCGCAGGGGCCTGTGCCACGCCACATTTATCCCCTACTGGTAGAGCTAGACCCGAATCTGGCTAGGATAATTAAGTTAATGGTGTATTTTTTTTTTTAAAGCAGTAACAAATCCCCAAACTTATCAAAGTAAGGGAAAAAGGAATACATTTTTAAAGAAGGCCTAGCCTAGGGGAGTCCTCCTCCTCCCTCTTTTTTTCTGGGGTGAGCTGGAAGGGGTGGGGTGTGGGTCCCCGGTTAGTCTCCGGCGCCCCCTGCATCTCCGCCTGCAGCCAGGACCGGCACACAATGCACCTTGCGGATGTTCCGGCTGAAAATGGGCCAGCCAGGAGCCCCTCCTCCCAGACAGGCAGGGCTTGTCAATAATTAGCACACGCAGCGGAACAAATGAAGGGGAAGATGCCGGGAATCTCCGTAGGGCTCAAAGTGTTCCCCGATGGACGGAAATAACCACGAATATTTGTCACAGCTACAAGGTCTGCGCCTCCCGCGACTGTGGCCCAGCGAGGTCCTGGGTGGGCTGTCCCATGGGCTCCCCCGCAGGGCACCCTCCGGCTCCAGCACTGCAACCCTGGCTGCTTCTAGAAAACCTGCCCCTGCTCTAGAAAAACACTGAATGTATAAGCCTCTAATCAATTTGGCAACTACTTTTCTACCAGAAAAATGGGTAAGGCACTGAGAGTGAGGGCCACAAAGGCACGTAAGAATGTTCCATGCCTTCAACAAATGTATAATGGAGTGCTGGCAGCACAGGAACTGGAGGGCGGAACGATGTGTGACGGAGATTATACCCAAGGAGCTGCCGAAAGCAAGTCTGAAGAGTTTCTCTGACCTCTTTCCCTGATACGTTTTTCTTAAACAGACTTAGAATACTGTTGTAACCATTCTAAGAGTAAAGGGTAGGGCTGTAGGATCAAAGTGGCAGGGCAAGAGGATCCTGAACTTGCCTCGTCCTGCGGACCTGCCAGCACTATGGCCACACACAGAGCAGCCCTTGCTGACGACAACCCGGGGACCAGCAGAGCAGCACTTCCACAACTAAAGATCGAACAGAAGAGCCACGCGCAGATGGGCAGGAGGGCAGAGATGTGGTCTAGTCAGGACCCATGAGCCTGCTGTGGGCCTCCACGAGCAGGACGGATACCACAAATGCTCCTTCCTGAGGAGCATGGGGTTCAGGCCCCACCTCAGGCACCCGTGCCTTGGGGACTATACCCCGAAGATGAGCACCCCTCCTCCCCAATAATGTCTGCCTTTAAAAATTAGCAGGGAGAGCAGGAGTGCCTGCACTTCAAGGGCTGGCACATAAACTCACTGTGACACCCAACTCAGAGGCAGCAGTTTGCAAAGTGCTTGGACCACAAATGAAGATTTATTGGCTAATTTTAGAGTATGTGCCAGAGGTGCATGGATCTGCGGGAACTTTCTCGGGCAAAGGAAGCACTGATGGACGCCATTTCTGAGACTCTCCATCTACCTTGCTAGCACTGCTGAACCCACCTAGATGTTCCCCTACAAACCCACCCTGCCTGTCAGGGACACCCCCAACAGTTTCTGTGTACCACACGTGGGAAGTCGCTGGGGCTGTCACTACCCCAAAGTGGCTCCTGCTCTGCTGCACCCAGTGGGTGGACTTGGCTGGTCCTCACGAGCATACCTACAATAGTCACAGCCACGCATTGTAGACAGCTGGGTTGGAGGCCGCCCAAGCTCCCCAGTGTGCCTGCAGCATTAATGGCCAATTACAACAAAACAGTGCGTGCAACCCACAGAAGGAACACCCCTGGAGTACTTGGTTCTAGTGACCAGGAGAGGCTGTGTTTCTGGACCCCACAGGACACCTACAGAAGGTTATTCTTTCAAGACTGGGACATGTAGCTGATCTGCTTAATAGATAGAAACAAATACGGAGAGGCAAAATGAAGAGACAGAGGAATACGTTCCAAACAAAAGAACAAGACAGAACTTCAAAATAATGAACTAAACAAAATGGAGATACACAATATACCCAATACGGAGTTCAAAGTAACAGTCATGAAGATGCTTGCCAAACTCGGGAGAAGAGTGGATGGACACAGAACTACAACAAAGAGAAAATATGAAAAAGAACCAATCAGAGCTGGAGGATACAGTAACTGAAATGAAAAATACAGAACAAGGAATCCATAAGAAATGAGAGGATGCAGAAGAATGGATCGGGCTCTGGAAGATGGTAGAGGAAATCTTCAAAGGCGAAAAGCAAAAAGAAAAAGAAAGAGAATCTTAAAAGCAGCAAAAGGAAAGCAACTAGTTATGTACAAGGGAAACCCCAGAGGACTCTAAGCTGATTTTCCCACAGAAGTCTTGCAGATCAGAAGACAATGGCATGATATATTCAAAGTGCCAAAAGGAAAAAACCTACAATCATTAATACTACACCTGGCAAGATTATCGTTTAGAATCGAAGGAGAGTGTTTCCCAGAAAGAAAAGCTAAAGGATTCCCCACTAAACTAGCCTTACAAGAAATGTTACAGGGGGGGACGCCTGGGTGGCTCCTCGGTTAAGCGTCTGCCTTCGGCTGAGGGCTTGATCCTGGAGTCCTGGGATGGACTCCACATCGGGCTCCCTGCATGGAGCCTGCTTCTCCCTCTCCCTATGTCTCTGCCTCTCTCTCTCTCTGTGTCTCTCATGAATAAACAAATAAAATCTTAAAAGAGAGAGAGAGAGAGAGAGAGAGAGAGAGAGAGAGAGAAATGCTACAGGGACTTCTGTAAGTGAAAAGGAAAGCCACAATCAAAAGTAAGAAAATTGTGAAAGAAAAAAAAAATCTCTGATAAAAGCAAACATACAGTAAAGGTAGAATGAAGGTTGAAAGACAAAAGTAGTAAAACCAACTCTACAAAAATCAGTTAATACACAAAATAAAAAGATCTAAAATATGATATCCAAAACACAATGGGAAGGGGAGGAAAAATGTAATCCTTTTAGAATGTGTTTGAACTTAAGTGATCACCAACTTAAAAAAGGCTGCGGTATACGTAGGGTATTATATTCTGAACCTCATGGTAACCACAAACCAAAGAACTAATAATAGACACACACAAGATAAAGAAAAAAGAAATCCAAACATAACACTACAATTCATCAAACCACAAGGGAAGAGAGTAAGAGAAGAAAGGAACAGAGATGAGCTACAACAACCAGGAAACAATGAGCAAAATGATAACAAGTACATACCTACCAATTACTTTAAATGTAAATGAACTGAATGCTCCACTCAAAAGATACAGGGTGGCTGAATGGATAAAAGAAAGACTCCAAAATGCTGCCTTACAAGAGACTCCTTTCAGACATAAACACACACAAAAACTAAAGTGAAGGGATGAAAAAAGATATTCTATGTAAATGGAAATGAAAAGAAAGCTGAGTTGCCCATAATTGTATCAGACAAAATAGATTTTTAAAACAAAGACTGTAAAACAAGACAAAGGGCACTATGTAATGATAAAGGGATCAATCCAACAAGAAGATAGGACAATTGTATCTATGCACCCAATACAGGAGGACTTAAATACACAAGGCAAATATTAACATAAAGGGAGTAACTAACAAAAATACATTTGGCTCTTGAACAACATGGAAGTTAGGGGTGCTGATTGGCTGTGCAGTCAAAAACCATACAGAACTTTTGATTCTCCCAAAACTTAAGTACTAACAGCCTACTGTAGACCAGAAGCCTGATAACACATCAGTCGATGAACGCATATTTTGTAGTTATATGGATGAGATAGTGCATCTTTATAATAAACTAGAAGAAATAAAATATTAAGAAAATTGTGAGAGAAATACATTTCTATACTGTACTTATCAATACTGTAAGTTGTCTGCTCACAAGAATCATGTCAGTACCTACATCAATCTTGTCTTACACAAAACACTGTTAGATGTCTTACAACAAAAATAAGACAAAGTGAAAGAAATTCTTTGTTTACAAAACAAAAACTTTCTAATGTATATTGAAAAAAATATATATATAAGTGGATTTGTGCAGCTCAAACCTGTATTGTTCAAGGGTCAAGTGTACAATAATAGTAGGGGACTATAACACCTCACTTACATCAATGGATAGATCATCCAGATGGAAAATCAATAAGGAAACAGTGGTCTTAAATGACACACTAGACCAGACGGACTTAATAGATAAACACAGAGCCTACCACCTCAAAACAGCAGAATAGATATTTTTTTTTCAAGCGCACATGGAACATCTCCAGGACAGATCACATGTTAGGCCACAAAACAAGTCTCAATAAATTTAAGAGGACTGATATCAAGCATCTTTTCTGACCACAATAATGTGAAACTAGATATGATTTCAAGGAAAAAAAAAACCAAAACACTGGAAAGCACACAAACGTGTGGAGGCTAAACATGCTACTGAATAAACAATGGGTCAACAAAGAAATTAAATTAGAAATTAAAAAAAAATTCCCTTGAAACAACCGAAAATGGAAACATAGCATTCCGAAATCTATGGAATGCAGCACAGGCAAATGTTCTAATAGGTAAGTTTACAGCAA